CCACCAAAGTGTTCCTCTATTTGAGATTCCAATAGCTGTTTAAAATAATCAGCACCATTACCTGTCAAATGGCTGTGATTTGCAGTTAAGGGTCTTCAAGTTTGCTGAACTCAGTGCTGTGTTTGTAAGTTGTTTCCATGTACAATGCACAGTGAATAGAACAGCTTGGATGCCCTGTGTAAAATGATGACAAGTGGCTTTCATTATAAAGACAAAATTCTTTTGTATCCCATGTTGCATTGAGTGCAGGGAATTGATACAGAAGAAGGTAGTTCTTTATCACTGACCTTCTCAGAATTGTCTGTAGGGTTAGCAAGCTCCTCTTCTATTTCACACCTCATCTTTAGAAATCATCACATCAGGCCATCGGATATGTGTGTATGACATAAATGGTAGTAACATATAAAACACAAATGAGCAGATTGTGAAAATATAACAACTTCACAGTGCTGTTTACTTGTAAACCTACCCAGTCCACATTTGACAACATATATAGCATCAGCAAAGGGTAGTTGGGTGATGGAGCATAAAAATTCCTTCTTTGGGACTTCCCTGACGGACCAGTGGTTAAGACTCTGTGCTTCCACTGCAGGGGGCATGGGTCTGATCTCTGGTCAGGGAACTAAGATCCCGCATGCCATGTGGCACAGCCAAAAAAAAAAAAAGAAAGAAAAACAAAAACCCATCCTTAAAATGAAAATTCTGTTTAATATTTATTTGCAAAGTAGAGTTTACTTAATTTGTGAGCTGTTTGGCAGCACATTAAGGGAAGTTCTGGTAGGTAATTCAGGGAGGAAGGGAATATATACCTGTGTGGCTCTCACCATGTATCAGCAGCCTCCCCAGGCTCGAGTCAGAAAACATGAGAAGATTCAACCAAAACAGCAAGGTCTTACTGTGCATGGATCCGGGTGCTTCCAGTCCACTGACAAAATTCCTCACAAGCTTTCCAGTCATACCATCACCATCAGCATCAGCACTGTGTGCTGAGGAAAGGTCAAAGCACAATGCTCATTTATCTTCTATCACACTCTCACTGTGGATGCCAGTTTAAGAAACCCAGGTATTAAATCGTGCCATGCAAGATACTCTGATCATTCAGATGGATTCAGTGAAAATAGAAAGGAAGATACAGATTTGAGAGTTATTCAGGAGTTAAAATTAATAAGGTGTCACAGGCAGGAGTCAGGGAGAGAGATCATGTCTTTAGAAATTCCTTTGACAGTGTATACCTGAGTGCCTTACTGAAAAAAAAAGATTTAGAGACCCTGAAATATAGTCATTCTCTAGGTTTCTCACATCCTCTCCAGTCCATGTTCCTTGTGGGTCAGTTCTACCATCTTGGTGACCACAAAGTAAAACTTTTCCTCCTCCTGGATCTGGGACATCCAGCCACAGATTTCAGAACCCCGCCAGGCTTTCATTTCCCAAACTACTGTGCCGATCCCAAAGAGGGGAATGCCCTTACTCATAAGTGAACAAGGGCATGAATGGAAGGAGTTTGTCTTGCTTAGTGGGGTTAAAATTTCTTGCGATATTTCCAGTTAGAAATGGGGAGTATATTTTCCAGGAGAAGCAAGCATACACTACAGAAGGCACGGTGGGGAATACTGTCTGGTTCTAGTACACACCAGTAGGTTGAGTATGAATTACAACAACCTACGAGGACTTGCCTGGACCATAGCCGTAATTGAGTATTGAGTCCATGAAAAATTAATTCCAACTTTCCAGGGCCCAATTACAGTCACATATTGGATTGCAAACCATTAAAATCTGAGAATATCTGTATTTTAGTCAGACAAGAAGCTTACCTAATAAGTGAATTTTTTGATCCAAATGTGTAAGACTATAACCTATTGAGATGATAAATTAAACCAGTATTTGTATGATATCTGTCTTCCATTCTAAATTACTTTCCATTGTTAAATAAGTTAAATTGTTTTTACAAAAATAAAGACTATAGCTATGTAGTCTAACCTTTCAGAAGAATTTAAATATTACATTGTTAAATGTGAGACTAGTTCATTTTAGTCTATAAATTCTTGAGGATATTTTCTTTTTTATAGAAATGGCTATTTAGTTTTCACAGATTTTTCCTTATATAAAAATACGTTAAGTACTGGGAGAAGACTACTATTTTATTTAATAGAATTCTAGAGACAATGGAACCTTGGAAATTATTATAACCACCTACATCTTTAAAATAAAAGAACATATGTATATAAATACACATATACACACCTATATACATGCACACACACAATAGTTTTACTTCCTATTATGTGCTAGATATGAGGCCATTCACTGCACTAGATTGTAAGAAACTAGTGAGAGGTAAGATCTACTAGGGTTTGTCCTGTGTTAAGGTCATAGACAAAGATCATTTTCACAGAATAATATATTTTAAAATTAGCTTTATACTACCCTGATAAATTTCCCTGAGGGAGGAAAAGCAAAGAAATAAGGAAGGATCAAGGTGACATATGAGAGAACAGAGAAGTAATATATTTTAATTACTTTCAGATTAAACTTCTAGTATTGATTTACAGAACTATCCATATTTACACTTTACTGACGAGAGTCCTAGGGCATCTTGGACTAGTACATTTCTGCATATCCCCTTCTTAAAATTGTTCCTCTTTAGGAAAAAAATCTCTTTTAAAGTTTGGCTGTATTCCCTGTCTCAGGACCCTCTCCTGGTCTCCCTGGAGCCCAGCCCAGCCAAACTCTTGCCCCTCCCACCGGACCAGAGAGCTGCAGGCAGGTCTGCAGTGGCCGCCCTGCTGTCAGGGCTGATGGCCAGTTCTCAGTCCTCCTCCTCCCTGACCTGTCCACGCTGGACCCTCCGCTCGGGAACACTTCCTTCACTGCCCACCTGGACCCAGGTTCTCCTGTCTTACTCTTCCTGCCTCCACCGTCCCTCTCTGATGCCACTTGGTGTCCCTCACCTGTAACTGTCATTGTTCTCAGCATCCTTTTGGTCCTCTCCTCTCTCCATCTCTACTCACTCTATCCCCGTACTTGACATACTATAATTGGCATGTTGACCTCTTCCAAGTCTCTCTCTAGTCAGATTTCTCCTCTGAACCCCAGATACATATATATAATTGTCTCCCTCACCATTTACATGTTCAGTAGACATCGCAAACATAACACGTCCCAAAACAAAACTCTGGGTTTTCTCTCTAAAAATTGTTCCCACCATCTTCTTCTTAGAAAATGGCAGTTGCTTCTTTCAGCTGCTTAGGATAAAATACTTTAGAGTCATTTTTTAAAAAATAATTACTGTTTTTTATTTGTTTATTTATTTTTGGCTGCGTTGGGTCTTTGTTGCTGTGCGTGGGCTTTCTCTAGTTGCGGCAAGCAGGGGCTGTTCTTCCTTGCGGTGCACGGGCTTCTCGTTGTGGTGGCATCTCTTTGTTGTGGCTCACGGGCTGTAGAGCTCAGGCTCAGTAGTTGAGGCGCACGGGCTTAGCTGCTCTGCAGCATGTGGGATCTGCCTGGACCAGAGCGCAAACCCACGTCCCCTGCATTGGCAGGCGGATTCTTAACCACTGCTCCACCAGGGAAGGCCCTCCAGAATCATTTTAAACATTCATCAGCAAACCTGGATATATATATGATTCCAAATGAATGTCTTGCCTTAAACCCTCTATTTCCTAAAATAGTGTTCCTAAGTGGTATTTTCAAGTGTAATACTGTGAGAACACTATTTCAGTATTTGATGTTGTGTGCTGCACAGGAATTCTGGAAGAATTTGAACAGGATATTTTAGATTGTGGCTACTTTAAAATGCAATAAACATCTCAGTATTTGAAATGTGTGTGTGTGTGTGTGTGTGTGTGTGTGTGTGTGTATAAAACCTCTGCCCATCATATCCAATACCCAACACTCCACCATCTCTGCTGTTAATTGTAAGCAAGGTCTCAGCAGCCACATGTCTTGCTTCGCCTGGGTTACTGAAATTCTCTCCTGCCTGATTTCCATACCTCTGTTCTTGCCCTTGTTCATTCTGTTCCCCACACAGAAACTACAGTGATTCTTTTAAAAGTCAGTTTGTATCACTCTGCTCAGACCCTCCAGTGGCTTGTCATCTCGCTCCGTGCAAAAGCAGATGTCCTAATGATGGTCCCCAGGCCCTTGCACGGACGCCCCTACCTCTCCTCAACCTCACTCCGCGCTGCTCCCACCTCACACTCTGCTCCCGCTCACCGCTTCCCTCCAAGTTCCTCAAGCACATCAAGCAGTGGCTTCTGCCTTTGCCCTTCTCTCTGTCTGAAATGATCTCCTCTTAGACGTGTGCAGGCTTGCTGGCCATGCCCTGCAGATCTCCATGCAGCAAAGCCTGCTCACAGCAGGCACACCCATTACCCCAATCAGTGTTCCTCCCTGGACCCTGCCACCACGGACATACACATAGTCACTGGGTTGTTTACTGCCTCTGTCCCTGCACTAGAAGGGCAGGGACTGTGGCTGTTCTATTCACTGTTGTAGAGCCATCCTTGGACGGTACCTGGAATATAGCAGATGCTCGAAAGTATTTGTGGAATGAAATCATGATTGGATACTGATCTTCAGAGTTGTGAGGGGGAAAAAGGAAACAAAATAATAAGGAACTTATGCTCACTTATTTCACTTAGCACAGTGTCTTTCAGGTCTATCTGTGTTGTCACAGATGGCAGGATTTCCTTCTCTTTTTAGGTGGAATGATATTCCATTGTATGGCTGGACCATGTTTTCTTTATCCATCATCTGTCAGTGGACCTTCAGGTTGCTTCCACATCTTGGCTGTTGTGAATAATGCCTGATTCCTGTAACATGAGGATTCTGAAATAGTCAAAGGTACAGAAGTAGACTGTATCTTTGGTTGTTACAATGGTTTAGGGAATTCTTGTTCAATGGGTTACGGTTCTCCAAGATGAGTAAGTTTCAGAGAACTGCTGGGTGACATTATGCCTGTCGTTATCAATAAGGTATAGGGCATTTAAAAAACAAAACAGGGCTTCCCTGGTGGCGCAGTGGTTGAGAGTCTGCCTGGCGATGCAGGGAACGCGGGTTCGTGCCCCGGTCCAGGAAGATCCCACATGCTGCGGAACGGCTGGGCCTGTAAGCCATGGCCGCTGAGTCTGCGCGTCCGGAGCTTGTGCTCCGCAACGGGAGAGGCCACAACAGTGAGAGGCCTGCGTAGCGCAAAACAAACAAACAAACAAAAAACAACAAAACAAAACAAAATGTGTTAAGGAGGTATATCTCATGTTGTGTTCTTACTACCAAAAAGAGGGGACATGAGAAAACTTTTGGAGGTGAAGGATATGTTTATTACCTTGATTATGGTGATGATAACACCAGTATATACCTATAACCAAAGTCACTAAATCATCTAAATTAATTATGTGCAGTTTTTTTGTACCAATTATACTTCAATAAAGCTGGAGAAAAACAATTTTTAAATAAGAAACTTAGGACAGTATCTGAGAAGTATTAGTTGATTAATAAGCCTGAGTATCAATGTCAAGGTCAATTAGAACCCTTAGGATTGAAATGTTTCCTAATAGCACAACTTTAAAGGAATTTCCATAGGAAATAAAAGAATATGTGCTGATTTTTTGAAGGATGTGTGGCAAAGTAAAATGAATAGTATCTGTGCCTATATGCAGAAGTAGGTGATTAGGAATAAATTTCAACTTTAAAAAATGGTATTAAGCTATATGTGAAAATAAAGCCTTTATTTTTTAAGGATGTGGCACCGTTCAGTATCTGGCACCAGTGTGGTGCAAAACCTCTAGTTATTTATAACAAAAACTGTTAGCACCTAATTTAATTAACTCCCTTTGCTGTGTTGCCAAATGAGAACATTGCTTTGTATAGAAGTTAAGTTGCGAGATGTTGGTTAAAATTCAGAGTTTAATAAGCCCAAAGCATTGGAGTAAGGCATTTTTTCCACAGTTAAACGGTCCTTGTTTAATTTAGTTTAGTTTGGCTTAATTTCCAAGTGTGAAAACTCTGAATGCGGCAAACAAGTTCGCAAACAAGTCTAACCAGAGACAAATCCAGTTAGACAAATCCAAAACCAGCTACAAATCCATGTAGCACAGAACTGCAATCACCAGGGTACAAACACTATTTCTTCTTAGAGACGTGTATGAGAAAGGTTTAGAAGGTTGATTCTAGGAACAATTTATGAGAAACAGAAGTTGCCGTCTATGCATGATGGGACTGTATCTGAATTATAGGAGGTCATTTTCTAAGTTCATTTGTTTGAGGAAAATTATCCACTGGATGTCCAAGTTCATTCAACATACCTTCCGTTTTCCACCATTTTCTAAAGGTGTTTTCTCTGCTTTTATTTTCATTTGTATTAAAGAAATGGCCAGAGTTTCTTCCTTTCAGAGTGTTAACATAGTTTTAACCGTCACAGTCCCACACTTTATCTGGTGTTATAAGTGTGCATCAAGATCACCCGATGGTAAAAAGAGCCGCTTTGGAGATTTGGAGTTAGGCAGAGCTGTGTTTGAATTCAAGACCTGACCAAGTTCCATCACCTCAGGTCATGCTTTCATGGGCGTGTCCAAATGAGAATCTTTGCAGGTGTCATCCATATAAGGATGTGTCTAGCACTCCTGCTATATGCCCTGCACTGTTTTAGGAAATAAAGATTTGGACATACACAAAATATACATATGCACTGTCATCATAACTTATAATCCAGTGGATGAAGTCATAAACCTGGAAACAAATAACAAATATATTTTGGCAAGGAGATAAAACCCGGGACAGAGAAAAGCCTTGGGGGAGGGAGCCAACTCCATCTAAGTTAGTCAAGGAGGCTCTCTAGGATAAAGTGAGGGGAAGGGCCATTACATACACAGGGCAGCCTAGCGGAGGTGGGGGCAGGCAGAGACAAAGTAAGTGCAAAGGCCTTGTGGCCAGCAGAGCTGGGAATGTTAGGGGGAAGGAAAAATGGACGTTGTTGTCCAAGGTGTAGGATGATGGGTTGGGGCAGAAGTGATGGAGGAAGGGGCAGCTCTGTTGGCCTTTGGGCTAAGGGGTTTGCACTTTATCCTAATTGCAAAGGGAAGCTGCTGTATTAATTTTAGAACGGGTGTACTCTGATTAGATAGGAGCCTTACACAGATTTCTCTGGCTGTTATGTGCAGAACCGAGTGTGGGTGAGACAAGAATGGAGGGAGGGAGGACAAGAGGAAGACTGTTTTACTCCAGGGGAGGGGCAGACAGGTTCTTAGTGCAGGTGGATTCGTGCAGAGGCCTTGTGACCAGCAAAGAGCTGGCAGGACTGCTGAGGAGCTGGATGTGGGTGTGAGGGAGAGAGCAATCAAAGTTGGCAGGATTTCCACGTTGATAGAGGGGACAGAGCCAGGCTAACAATGTACAGATGGAGCTGTGGACCTCTGCTGGGTGATGGGGACCGGGGTGAACTTGAGTGCAGGTGCCTTCTCAGGTGAGCCCTTGCTGCTCGGGTCCAGCTGGTGGCTGCCCTGTGGGAATGCAGTGATGGCTCTGGCTAACCCGTCTCCTAACTTTTCAAGGAAGTTGTAAATCTAGGAATTCATGTGTAATCCTCATTTTCAGGTGTTCTTTTAGAAACCTGAAACACTCTGCTTTTAAGACTGTGCAGGTAGGATCAGGCCATATGGACACCGCTTTTGCACGCGTAGCATTAAAAAGTGCTGAGCACAGTATCTTATACGAGCGTTCAATTCTGTTTTTCTTACAAGGATACAATAAATGTCAGACTACATCATTACCCTTAGTGAAAAAACAGCTTTAACAGAAGAAATACTCATTATTCCATATCCAAGAAAAACAAAAGGAATGTCAATGATGAAATATGGGAGAGGAAGCTGATGCATTAACTAGAAAGTATTTATTGAATCTATAACATCTGACCAAGTTTGAGCCAAGTGGTAAGGGAGGAGACATCTTAAATTGGTTAAATGTTCTTTATGTCTTGTCCTAAATTTCCAGCTACTGTGGAATACTTAAAACATTTTTATAATGTGTGAAGTGATATATAACTTGCAAATATGAAGTAGTGCAAATCAATCTGGAATCTGCCTGAAACAAAAGTTGTTCCATGGATGTCATTAAAGGAAATGCAATTCCCATCATTACATTATCACCATGGCACAACTATCTAAAACAACAAGATGTTCTTTTTTTTTGCGGTACGCGGGCCTCTCACTGTTGTGGCCTCTCCCGTTGTGGAGCACAGGCTCCGGACGCGCAGGCTCAGTGGCCATGGCTCACGGGCCCAGCCGCTCCGCGGCATGCGGGACCCTCCCAGACCGGGGCATGAACCCGTGTCCCCCGCATCGGCAGGCGGGACTCTCAACCACTGCGCCGCCAGGGAAGCCCGAAGATGTTCATTTTTAAAAAAAAGATTAGTAAGTAGGGGCTTTTCCACACGTTTATGAACCATTGCCTCAAATTCCTGAGGAAATAATTTAAAATATTTTTATCTACGTTTCAGTTAGCTAGCATACCACGCAAGGTCAATTTCTGGAATGCGGTGGGTGTCATAAACGGGGGTGACACCTGATGTTGTGTAAAACAAGCACGTAGGAACAATAAAATCTCACACAGGTGTGATGGGAAGATTAGTCACATAAGAAGGAAAGGACTTGACTCACTGTTCCACAGTACGGCAGTGCAAAGCTTCTCAGTAAATCCTGACCAGGGCTAAATCAGACTTTTGTTTTTTCCACGTGGGTTTCTGGTCTGAACCACAAAACACTCACGATGACCTGGATGACTATCCCTCGCCTCCCCCATGGATGGCACATAACTAGTACCGTTCTAGATGCTGAAGAGGGCAGCTGATCCGTTAATACGGTGGACGCCTTGGGACATCGGGGCTCAAGTCTCACATGTAAGATGGGATGAGAAACTGCTCTGAGGGTGAAGATTTCCTTTCTCCTACTTAGTGACAACATTTCTGACCACTAGATGGTGGTGACAGTTCACACTTCTGATTTATAGTTTTTATTTGCACTAGGCTTGTGAAGATTATAACCACCATTTATTGAGTTTCTACTATGAACCAGGCTCGTCCTGACTTTGATGCTTATCCTATTGGGGAAATCACGTAACCCCCAGTAATCAAAGAGGAAACCTTTGCTCAGTGTCACTCAGCCCACAGATGACATGTCTTCTGACTCTAAGCCCACTCACTCTTCCAGTTACACGTGGCAGACTCAACAGTGATGGAATTTCAACAGCCTCCCTTATGTGTTTACATTAATTAAAACCAGAAGCTGCCATTTGAAATACGTTTCAAAGAAACTAATTGGAAAACTTAAGAACAGGTATACGTCATACACACAGACTGATTAACTCAATTCATTTAAGGTTTACATTGATGCTTCCAAATATGGGAAGCATACCTGCCCTTCCCTGGTTCTCTGTGTGTGTCTGCTGGAAGTCATGAGCTTTGTTATTTAAGTATAGCTTCAGGCCCTCGACATCAGAGCTTTATATAACAATAACAACAGCAATACTAATATCTAACATTCATTGAATGTTCACGACGTGGCAGACCATTTATATATATAAATCATCTCATTTATCTCTCACAGGAATCCTCACGAACTCTAATAATTCCCTTTTACACATAGGCACAGTGAGAAGTAGAGAGAGAAAGTTTGCCAGGATCTCACACACTCTAAGAAAGGGTTATGGGATTCAAACCTACATTAACTTATTCTAAAGCCATTGCACTGGATTATAAAACTGGCTGTTGCACACAATCCCACCGCCATGAATTCCTGTCTCTATTGTCTGGATCAAGCCCATTGCTGGGTCTCCCGAGAGGGGTAAAGACACTGAAACCAAAATGTCCTTCTGCCAACTGATCTTTGCTCCATAACAAACACCCATCTCGTGAGAGGATGTACAGTCGGATTAATATCTGGAGCCTTATAGCTGGGCAAGCCTGAGTTCAAATCCTAGATGCAGTTACTTTCTACCTCTGATGGTCCGGGTTCTCCTCACCTTTCTTTGATTTCAGAAA